CCACAGAGGGTATGAGTAACGTACGAGGTTGCCTGATGATCTTGAGGAGGGAGGGAAGAAGCGGGGTGAGCTGAACGGTGCACTGCCACATTCCCGAGTGGCCCCCCATGCGCGAAGCCACCTGTTTTCAGCTATCACAGCCGTACCAAGGAGCTCGTATTTGGTGTTGCACCGCGCGCTCTCTACCAAAACCGCGGCAAGTGCGGTGCAACTCCAAATACGAGCTCCATCGTACAGTCAGGTAGGGAATTGAAGGGAATTGCAGGTTTAAGTTTCGGTCGTCGTGCGCTGGTGGAGCTTTACCGGTAAGTAAGTGGATGTTGGTTGGTCAAAATCGTCGCAAGAGGGTGCGCGTGACCTCGGGAAGGCGGCGAATCTCAAACTTATCCACACCAGATGCATGCCATCGCATTCATCTTTGACCTCGTAAACATCACACGGGCGTACAATCTTTCCTTCGCTTAGGTACGGAGAGAGCCCGTTACCTTGGAGGGAAGAGGAATTCCTACCTAGTATAGAGCAATATTTCCCCATGGGACAGGTAAGATACCACCAAGCTGAACGCTTTTTGACCATCACAGTTGACACTGAACAAGCCCCATGTAACTGCCTCGCCCATCATCGAGATTATATGTGGCATGCGCACCATCATCTACCTATGATATAAGCGACCTATAAACCCACAACACACAGCTCACTCATAGAAGTGACGGAAAAGCTCTCGGTATGGCGTCGACGCCTGCCACCTCATCTACTATTCGATCTGATCACTGACTGAAAACCCGGTCAGTCATGCACGTAATAAGTACATCAACTACAAGCATCATCTCTTCCACCTACCTTCGACAGTCTGCTCCTCATTTTGCGTCATCCACGGATAGCGAACCATTCATTACACGGCCCTTCCGTCTACAAGAGCTTCTCGGAAAAGAAAAAAGAAACAGCTTTCAATGCGGAGCAACATCATTCTCACAGACGTACTCCAAATGCTGCTGCACAAAGAAGCGGATTGTACGACTGCTGATATCGACGACAGTAAACTTCATGGATGCTAACGAAGGTCTCTATCTGAAGGCGCTACAACGAACCACAACCCCATTCCACACGCTACTCCTAGCAAGTAAAAGTAGGCGGACCAGGGTTCTTGTAGCTGGTAGGAATAGGGTAGTTGATGTTGATCATAATGCCCGGATCCGTAGCGCTATACGCACCAGGAAACGCGACAAGATCCCTAGGCATAGTGCTACCCCCACCAGTGACATCCAGCTGTGCGCATGACAGATAGAACTGGGCGCCGCCTCTGCTCTGCGCCGTGTGCAAGGCAATGTGCTCATTGCGCATCAGGTACTTGCCAGGAGCGATGCACCTGGGGATCGTAATGTCGTAGTTGGAAGCACCTGTATATATCGTCAACGCCCTGTTTCGTGTCACGGGGATGCGGGTAACAGTACTTTGCCACGACAATTGACCACCGAATCTGGGTTGCTCGGCGTAAATGCGGAACCAGACGGCGCCGGTTGGATCCCAGGTGTTGATGTCTTGACCGTCGGGAACTTTTGCAAGGTAGGATTGGAAGGGGCCGGGATGGTAGGCGTTTGGGCTGACGGTGACCTTGACCCTGGAACCGGCTGCAACACTGAGAGTGCTTGAAGCGGCGTTGAGTTGGTTGCAGCGGATATCGTTGCTCATCACGTCGCCAACGAAGCCATTGTTTTGCCAGTTCTTTGCTCTGCGGACCGCGGTCCAGGGCCCGTTGCCGTTGACGGTTGGGAGGGTATCTGGAAGTAGTTAGCATGTACGATAGAGGCTGATCCGAAGACAGTTCAGTGCGTACAATGGGCGCTGGCCAGCGACGCAGCCGCGAGGAGAACAAGGGAGATCTTCATCTTGGCAGTAGTACTGCTAGAGCTAGTAGATGAAATGCAACGAGAGTACAGTTATACCGAGGGAATGATCCTTCCAGGACTTCATATATACACCGTTTCTCTTCCCACATTATAACTCCGAGATGATATCGCGGGGTAATAAGTCATCCACGCACGTGGCATGACGAAGAGCAGTTACGAAATGGTGGCTGACGAGGCTGTCCAGATCAGTGGTGTGGGATATAAATTGCCCAAGATGAATATAATTGATTCGGTGTGTTAGGAAAACACAGGCAGCGCGGGCGTAGATGCCGGATATCGGTTTCGGCATCGTGACAAGAGCCAATCAGAGGGTTTTGCATGCCTTGCTGAATTAGATTACCGACGTCAATGCCGCGAGGCAGTAATATGGAAGTTATGAAAAGGCGATCACACGCACAGCGATTTAACCCGGTTTCCCCATGCGAGACGGAGAGTTGCTACTAGGTCACCGTTTTTCAAATCTGTCAAATGCTTATCGAGAGCAGCAGCCATTATCACAATGAAACGATTTATTTCATCCCGTGTGGCGCAGAACGTTCAGCCCACACCCATCCACCGATCAACTACACATCGCCCCTCGTTTCAGCATCCTCGCTATCACGTCGTCCGACGTGTTTGTCTTTTGCACCTGTGACCACAGCCATATCCTCATCAGCAGCGACATCGAAATTCCTTCCGCGGTACTCGGGTCCCACCGCCGTGAGCAGGATCACATAAGCATACACACAGCCCATGAAGATGCAAATAACGAGGCCATACTTGTACCGTGAAGTACCGTCTTTGGGCGGTAGGGGAAACCGCTCACCAATTGTGGCTTCGATGGTGGACGACGCGGAAGAAGCTAGGTTGCCAAGTTGGTAACTGGTACCGACGACGAAGGTACGGAATGAGCCTGGCGAAAGTTCCATGAGGTGGATGGGGATGACGCCCCACGCGCCCTGGACGCAGAACTGCTGGAAGAAAGCAGGGGCGATGACGGCATTGGTGGAGGCGAACGTATAAGGGTAGAGTAACGCGCCGCCAATGATGCACATGACGATAATGCTGAAGCGGCGCCCGACGATGGAAGAGCAGTATCCGACCATAGTGCCACCGGACATAGCTCCGAGGTTTGCAACAACTTGGGTAACGGTAACCTGGTTTGCGGAGAAATTGTACTGGTTGCTCAGCATAGTCGGGTAAAGGTCCTGGCTCCCGTGCGACATGAAATTGAAGCCCGCCATGAGCAAGACAAGGTATACAAGCAATATCCAATGGCGCTTCAGTGCGATCTTTCCCTCTTGAGCAAAAGCTTTCGCGGCGTTTGGCTGTTCCTCGCGGATATGCTTGCGCTCTAGGTAGGCGTTTGTTTCGGGGAGGCAGAGACGGAAGATGATGATCAGGACTGGCACACCGGCACCGAACCAGAACAAGGGGCGCCATTCATGGCCGACGGTATTTACAAAGGCTCGCGCGAAGACGGTGGCAAGAAGGTAGCCGAATGCATAACCTTGTTGTAGCATGCCCGATATAATTCCACGGGCTTGGTCGGGGCAGTCTTCGAGGGCTGCATTAGGTTAGATGGCTCTGATACAGAGAGACGACGTGAGACTGACCGGTCGCGGCAGCATTGCCATATAGTCCACCCATGGCAACACCAAACAAAGCTCTCACGCCTAAGAACTGATTGTAGGTAGAGCAGAAGCCCGTACCCAGCTCCAGTACAATGAAGAGCACGTTGTTGATGATGAATGGCCACTTTCTCCCATAGCGATCAGCCGCCAAACCAAAGATGATGCTTCCTACACTTCTCAACATCAGCACAAGCGTGATGCCCCATGTGATGTCGGCCTTTGTCTTGCCAAAGGTTTCGGCGAGATTTTCAACAGTCAGCGAGACGGTGAAGAAGTCGAATGCATCCCATGTCCAAGCGAAGAAGGCGACGAGAAAGAAGAACCATTGCTGCAGATTGAGCATGCGGAGCAGAGCAATGGGATTGGGTACTCTGTCATGTGCTGCCCTGAGGGTAGGAATGCGTGTCGCAATGTAGTGGCCAGCCGACATCTGTGCCGCGTATTCGCGTTGTTCGCTGCTGTCGTACTTTTCGTCCGCCATATGGGACCCAGGGTGTCGACTGGAAAGGGTAATCTATCGTCTGGAGAAGGACGGGAAAGAGAATCAAGTCGCCGGATCTTCGCTCATCGTGGGCATCGCACGTCTTTTGAAACACGCCCGGTTCTTCGACCCATTCCATCCGAGTCCCTTCCACTGATAAGTTATGACCTGGGGCGAGCCATGGATGCATACTCAACATGCGCATGCGTATGACGTCCCCACAACCCCGCATGGTTCGTCGTGATCCAATCAAGCTCGTGCGGAATACCGTCTGGGGGTTAGCACGCGACATGGGGACGAGCGCTATCGACAGACCACGGGATGCTAAGCATGGTTAAGAGTATCAAGCCTTGCTTGGCCTTGAAAGGAGACTGGCAATCGGCTCGGAGAAGCTTTATCAAGCGATGCCGAAAAGCTTGGGTGACGTGGAGCTGTAGGTAGTAGGCACCAACGGCGTCTCATGGAAGGGACTGCGTTGCAATGGCAGAGGTCATACGACACTGCGATAATTTTGTACCATGTCGGTTGGGTTGGGTTGTGGTGTCGACGGCTCGGGGAACTATCGGAGTATTCACGACCTCAAGATTGACATGTCACGTGCCATTGTACTCTACTCCCCCGGTTTGCGCTTTGAAAACGTGCTAAAAGAAGCCCATTGTATAACCAATAATAAGTAAAGCAACAAATATAAGCATAACAACCGTGCGGAGGGAACCGTTGCAGCTTTGATGTTCGCCCTCACCCTCGCCCCCGCCCACGCAATTCCTCCAAGTCCGTTACAATCCCTCACCACCCCAACACCCAAAATAACCCCATTTATTCCCTTAAAAACAACTCCGAAATAAGCTACTCAACACGCGCAGTCTTAAAAATAGCAAAAGTGCGCCGTGTCTCATCCGCATCCAACCCAACTACCTCTCCACATCAACATCCCAAACCCAAAAAAAACCCACTACCCATTCACCCCCTCCACCAACCCAAAAAAAACAGTCGCTAAACTGACACGAGTGGGGTTCGAACCCACGCACATTTCTGTAGTAGAGATCTAAGCACTGGCACTCGGCCACATCTTAAGTCTACCGCCTTAGACCACTCGGCCATCGTGTCGGATGGAGAAACTGAAGAAACTTTTCAGTTCAAAAATTTATATCGTAAATTATTTTGGGGCTGGTGGCAGCAATGTGGCCGTCTGGGGGCTGGGAAGGAAGAGAAAATGGGGGTTTGGTGCGGAGCGGGGTAGGTAGACCGGCGGTGTGTGGAGGGGCTGGGGTGACATCGTCATTGTGTGGGCTCGTTACTGGAGGCTTCCCTGACACACACACACACAAGGCTGGCGCGGTATTATTAGCGGACTGAGGATGTTTGGCTGGTATTACGTTGGATGAAATGGACGCAAATATCTTGTGTAGTAAAGATACATTGCGTCGAACAAGCTGTACCTACCTAGCAATATAAGGTAGAAAAGAGAAAGAGAAAAAAACGCTAATAAACAGCTCAATTAAACATACTCGGGTGGGATAACAACTTGACGCATAGCTACGTACCTAGGTAGCTAAACTAGCATTGATTCCCTTTTGTCTAAAATCGAAAGGTAACGAGACCCATACCTAGGTAAAATATGGAAAAGTTTCAAACACACTCTACAGCACGTGAGCACCCCTTTCTCTATACCACCCAACTAACCACCCTCCACCCTCCCTTTCTCCACCAAAAAAAAAGCCACAGCCAGAACCAGAAAACTAGTCACCACACTACCGCTAACCCACATCCATCACCATCCAAAAACGCAAGTAAAGAAAAAAAAAAGCTAGCGTTCCACGTATAACCCCAGATCTCCAATAGCATAACGCAGCGTACAGCAAAAAGAAGGAGAAATACCCCCGATTAGGCCCTAGGGTCGTGAGACGCATAGTGGGTGCGTATTTACATTCACAACCAAAGCTTTCAAGACAAGGGGAGGGGGTAGTTTGGAACGTGTTTGGAACAGGAAAGCAAAGCGGGACATGGGAGAGAAGGGATCGAAAATTGAGGGGGCACGAAAGATACAGACTCATAGCAAGGTATGGGTAGGTAGCACTCATGATTCAAGAAAATAGAGGATTTTTGTTTAAGGGAATCGCAGGGGGTTTGAGAAGTATATACGGGATGACCATAGTAACTAGCAAAGATATGATAGCTAAGCATTGCAATATCCAACGTTGCAGCTTATCCAAAAAGAACAGCGTCCACGTCTGTAGTCTCACGGCGCCTGTAACGAATCCGCATGTGAGGCTGAGGCCCATAGATATCCAGGACGCAGAGCAACACCTCTTCCGCGATAGAGGCATAAATATATTATCGTCGTTGTGTGTTGCCGATACCCAGCGCACGCCACACATGTAGCACTCACCATGCTACGTCGTCCTAAACGAACCTTGAAAACATTGCGTCCGCAACATGTGCACAGCATCGCAACAGCAGTCTTACCTACCGACTGCTTTGTATTGCGGGGATCGAAATTTGGATCCACGCGGCTGTGGGCCTTTCATCCAGACCGCCATGGCTGAGACTCGTGGGCCGAAGTACGCGGAATTGCCTCAGGCGCTGCGTACATCTCTCCCAAGTACCACACAGCCCCAATCCATATATACAACTCCGCACGCAGTCGCATTTATTTCAGCATAATGCGGAATACCACTCTAGACGTTCGATCCGAGTCGACGGGACACGTATTACGGGATGCGCGGTAGATCGGGGAATCTCGCTGTTATTCTAGTCTGTAGGTTGGTCAGCCATGGTATTACAGTATCAAAAAGTATGTAGGTAGTGGAACTCGGCTTACCTCATGTAGGTAGGTACGTGGTCAACGGGCCTCTTGCCGTAGATAACTACAAAGTCAGTATGGCAGCTGATGTGAGATGACAGCGGCCAAAAGCTTTCGTGTAGCTTGGGAAAGGGATCGATGCTATCTTCTTTCGCTCTTGGGGGAGCGCAAATCGATGGGTAGTATCATGATTGTGCGCCGATTGACATGTCCGGCTGAGCTTGAGCTTGCGGTTAGGTTAGGTTAGCTATGCCCGTACTGGAGCTGTCGCGACGCTATCCATCACGGCGTTGGGATTCGTATTCAGGGATTGAGGTGGAAGAGCGATGGAAAATCACTGACTAGAGGGCATTCCCGTCAAAGTAACGTGGAGTGGGTGTTGAAGCACCCTCGATATCTGAAGCCTCAGGTCGAAGGTGGACAAAAGCTTGGCATGACCAAGTCTGAACACCCGACAGCTCAAGCAGCTGTAGCTCATCCCACAACGTGCTACCGGCATTCGGGAATTTCGGGTTTCATCGTGCAGGTCCAATTGAGTTGATTGAGCTTAACATCATTTGTCCGCATGCGTCATTACCATGCCCAGAGCTTCCGCACATACGCTGGAAAAAAGGAAGGCAGAGCCGTGGTGGTAGGTTGCTCTTCAGATTGCTCGTCTAAAGTACATGTTTTACACAATCTGACCGGCCACTAGAGGAGGAAATGAGGTAGTAGTCGTCCCTATGCACACACCCATCCGCAAGAAAACGTTTTCCACCTTGCGGCACACCTCCAGTACCAATGACCCCAAATGTCCGGCAGTCGATGCAACTGCACACATCTATGCGACGTAGAGGAGCAAGAACGACATCATGAGCGCGAAGAGACCGGTGGCCTCAGCGAAGGCGAAACCCAAAACGGCGTACTGGAAGAGCTGGCCCCTGAGGGACGGGTTGCGGGCGACACCCTGGATGAGACCACCGAAAACCGTTCCGATACCGACACCAGCGCCGGCAAGACCAATGGTAGCGAGACCGGCACCCTGGATCTTGGCGGCGGCGACCATGGCGGCGGCCGTCGACTCGGCAACGATGCCACGCTTCTGGATGATGTTGCGGGCGGCGTTGTTGCGGAAGGCGCTGCGGGCAGCGACGAGCGTGTTCTGCGTGGGCTGGCGGGCTGCGAGATGAGGGTCAATGGCTGCTTGATGGGAGCTGGCAGCGCTCAGACGCAATCGCCAGAGCTGCTGCGGCAGGCGCGACACATACCAGCGTTGGAGAAGCCGCGGGCAGCGACGCGGGCGGCGCCGAAGGAGCGAGCGATGGCAACCATGGTGGTGGTGTTGACGGTCGGAGTGGAGATGAGTTGGAGATGAATTGGTCCTTCAATGGATGGGGAGTGGTGGGAGGAGGATGGAGGAGCTGGGTGCAAAAACTCGCAGAAGGGTTGATTAGCTGCCAAGCGGTCCGTGCACACAGCTTCGGTTAGCGCATCGTTGGTTCCGGGCGGCATCAATGGCGTCCAGTGTCCACTCATCCTTGTACTATCTACTGTGTACCTCGTAGTTTTACTGATATCGTCTTATACTCTTCAAAAGTTTCATGCAAGTTATGCTTACCATCCTAGGATGTTCACGCTGTAGATATCAATGTTGCGTATCATTACGCCTGCACAATCTCATACGACCTGTACCTCGCCCTCGGCCCAGTGATCAATGTATTCACAACTAGGCATCTAGATCATCCAGCACCTTATCCCTCCCTATCAGTGTTCTCTGGCCCGAGCCCTACCACCCAGCCCTAGCCCACCAAATGCCCACCCCAACAGCCCCCACCGTCCCAAGGATCCCCGCCCACCTCGTCAACCCACTCACCACCATCGTCCTCACCAGCTCCTCAATAGCCTTCCCATCGTTCACCCTCGGAAACGGCACATCGGGGACCTCCTTCCCCAGCATCTCACACAGCGGGCCCCACCCGTCTCTAACATCAAACCAGAAAAGCTTCTCCTTGGGCACCACTCTCTCCAGATACGCCACATGCGTATGCCAATGCTGGATATCGATATGCTGAGGTCCGTAGAGTTCCTCCCACTGCTTACCCATGGCCTCGATGTACGCCGTGAAATGCCGCATCGTGGGTAGGGGCAGGAGCACGATGTACAGGAACCAAAGCTTCGCTGCGTGGCTGACCGTCTGCATGCTGTTGATCCATGCTTGGGGGTCGCGGACCGTGGCTATTACGATGGCGTCTGGGTAGAGCTCGAGGAGTTCGGGGACGAGCCCGTTGCAGGGGCAGTCAGTTACACCTACGTACCCGTCTAGACGCTCTTTCAGGATCTTGTTGACGATAGCCGCGTCTGATGTTGTTTTCGCCGGCCAGTGCTGCAGCAGGGTTATCCAGGAGCGCATTTCCTGAGGCGGACCGAGCGTGGCTTGGGTGCCGCCATGGTAGGCGGGGCCTACGATGAGGTTAGGTCTGTGGAGGATTGCCTATGTGCTAAATGCGTGTCTTTGGAGCGGTTGATTTTTTTTCTTGGCTTACCATCGAGGAGGATGGACAGCGCGAGACTGAAGGAAGATGTTCCTGTCCGCGGTAGCCCTGCACCAATGACTTGGAGCTGGGTGCCTGGCTTAGGCTTGGACGGTTCTTGGCCCATTGTTTCTGAGAGAAGGTGAAGGTTCGGGGTAGAGAAGGTGCGGTTGTTACTTTATATCATCCCATCACTCTAACAATATACTTCTTTACCCGCTGCGGCGCAGCCGTGCTAGGGCCTACACAGTACACGCTAACGATTGCCCCGTTGGGTTGGTGGCTGAGCATGCCCTATAAATCCTCTTCAAACCGCTAGGATGCACATGCAAGTCAGCGTCGAATACGCCCTGCATGTAGCTCCTCCTTAGTACATACCAACCACAAAAACACAAAAAAGTAGTGCATCAAAACTTCCCATGCATTCTTCAGCTCAAAGCTAAAACCGATACAAGACTTTTGACAACCTGACCGTGACCCACACGACCTTTTCCCAGCCCAGTCCATCCCTCCATCTTCACCCGCATCCGCCGCATCAAACCTGGTATCGGAAGTGAAAAGAAAGAGAAGGGTACAATATAGCCAGCCGTCGCGCACGACGCTGACGCGAAGAATTTAGTATTCAAACATTACACGGTCGCAAAGACCTATCGGAGTAGAAGCGTCGACGCTCAAACTCTCCTCTCGCCGCAGAGCGGGTTACTTCGAACCTACATTCACTCCCGCGCCCGCGTGCATAAAACAGTCATCATAAAAAACAGCAAATGGAAGCTCTCGTCAACGGCCGAACCTAG